TGCTGAATATGTTGCATTGTCAGAGGCAGTAAGCGAATTAAAGTTTATAAAAAGTTTGATAAATGATTTCAAAGTTAAAATTGATTTACCAATAAAGATTCATGAAGATAATGCTGGAGCAGTTTTGATAGCAAAATATGGTAATTTAACAAAAAAATCTAAAATATATAAATACACTATCATTTTGTAAACGAATGTTATGATAAAAAAGAAATTGACATCATTAAAGTAGACACTGAGAATAATTTAGCCGATATCTTTACCAAAGCTTTAGGAAGAAATAAGTTTGAAAAAAAAGATCATTGTTAAATTTGAGAAATTAATTATTACGATTACTATTTTTACTACAATAACCAAAAGTTTATTGAGAAAGGAAAATTGTTAATTTAATTTTATAATTTGAAAAATTGTTTGTAATCAGAAAAATAACTGTTTACCAAAATTACGTTTGTACAGTATAGGATTAAGGAGGTGTGTTGAATTATACGTAATAACTATACTGTACACACATACAAATGTAATATAGATATATCCATGAGTGACGATGCGCGCGCCACTATCAGTATGTATGTGAGGATGTATGAATGCGTGCGCACATGTACAGAGTATATGATAGTCAGTCGGCTATGTAAGAGACAAGAGAGCGCATCTCGGCGTGGCTTATACACATGTGTGTGGTCTGTATGTATCAACTCAATCATTGACATTTATGAATAAATAATCATATCATTATTATTGTTATAATAAAAAGAACCTCAACACTATAATTATTTCAACGATCCACCTCATATTCAACAAAATTCATCCCAAAATTGCTCACAGCAGAGCAGAAGAACATTCGCTTAGAAATCGCTCTGGACAATTTGGAAATGGTCAATAATGATGATAATGTGCTTAGAAAAGTTATTACAGGTGATGAATCATGGGTTTATGGTTATGATCCTGAAACAAAACAACAATCTTCACAGTGGAAGCATTCTGAATCGCCAAGACCAAAAAAAGCACGTCAGTCAGAGCAATGTTAAGTCAATGTTGATTATTTTTTTCGATTGTGAAGGTGTTGTACATCACGAATGTGCACCAATACGTCAGACAATCAATAAAGAATACTACGTTCAAATTTTGAAACGTTTGCGTCATGCAGTAAGAAGAAAACGGCCGCACTTTTGGGAAAGTGGTGACTGGCTTCTCCATCACGATAATGCGTCAGCGCATTCATCCAATCTTGTGCAGCAGTTTTTGAGCAAACACAATGTCGCATTGCTCCGACAACCTCCATACAGTCCCGACATAGCCCCTTGTGACATTTGGCTGTTTCCAAAACTAAAAAAACCACTCAAAAGACACCGATTCGATGACAAAACAACGGTTGAAAACAATGCGACGAGTGTACTTAAGGCTATCCTTAAAAGTGAGTTCCAGGACTGTTTTGAAAAGTGGAAACATCGATGGAACCATGTTATTCAATCAAGTGGGGATTACATTGAAGGATGCCACCCACCAGATGATAAAGAATAACGCTAGCACGAAAATATAAAGGTAGGCCCGATACTTTTTGAACAGACCTCGTATATATTTTTTAACCTAAAACTTGTTTTTTATTTTTATCCCAACATAAGGATAATTATTTTTCGAATACCCCTTGTACTATGCCTGCAGTAATAAGCGAAATCCGAGATAAATTGCCGGTCGATTTCACGTGAGCTCGGAAACTACAACGTGACAATTATGCGCGTATCGCGAATTATTTGTAGGCGAACGATCATTGCGTGCACGTGGCCGCAAACAAGATGGCGGCGTCCACATCTTCCACTGACTAGGAACACAGGCCGATAGTTTTTAGACCTAGTAACCAAATATAGTATACCCACGGAATTTTATGCCCTGAATCCGAATCTGGCTTTAAAATTGATCCATCACCTTCAATTTCTGAGATATTTTAACCTAAAATAAAAAAGAAACTGATTTTGAAGTCTTCTCGCGTCACTAATTTCCATTTTATTCTAAAACTGGAAAAAGCATTCGAAAGAGCAGGTTGTTTTCTTTAAAAAATACTACCTCATTTTTTCAATTAAAATTTTTGAAGCGGAGATATCGTTCTTTGAAATAGAGAAAATTAGAGTTTTCAATGGTACTATAAAAATAATATATAATAATATATACTATAACTATATAACATGAAAAATGATCTAAGGTGCATAAAAAAAGATGAATAATTCATATATAATCTGGAAATTCTAGTTTTTAGAAACTTTTCCCAACCACGTGGTCCCTTCTTAGCCCAGAGTATACATTGCTATACTATTAAGAGCTCTCTATTAACAAAATTTTTCTAATTTTACCTTCAAATGATCTTGAAAATGACGTTCGATCTTGAACGCTATATCATATTATTATGTGAAATTTGACGCTGAATCAATTTTCGCTCTTAAAAAAATATAGCATTTAAATTGGATAAGATATTTTCAAATTTCAGAAAATTTTTAAGAACATGTTAAGTTTCAGTCGCCATATCGAGTCCGCCATTTTTAATTTTTACAAAAAGCTACATGGTACTGTAAACTAGAGGAGAAAAGAAAAATTTGAAGCTGTCGCGTGTAATTGTAATTTGGTTTTAATCACAAATTTTCGAAAGAGTGGGCTCTGGTTGATAAAGAATGACCTATACATATATATATATATATATATATATATATATATATATTGCAACGATTGCCGAAAATCGTTATGACTCGCGCGGACCGTCAAGCGTGGCTATGCGAAATAGCCGTGATCGGCTTAGGTTAGAGAGAGAGAGAAGGCGCACACATTAGGGGCAACGACCGAGAGGGGAGGGCTAACGAGTTAGTATAGCAGAGTTCGTCAACCTTGCTACATCGTGTTTTTCGCCAAGTACTTCAAAGCAGTGTCAAGGGATTACAGGAGTGACAATAGATATTCTGTGCCGAGTGTTGTGAGTGAGTGTGTTTCCTGCACCTCGTGCACAGCATCAACGACTGCAACAACAACTTTGCAGCAGCATCCGCAGCGTAGCCCAGCAACAGCAGCAAAAGTAGGTTGCAGCGGCAGCTCATCGTTTTTGTAAGCAGATACGGTTGGCCAACGTATCCGAATCACCTTTGCGGTAAGTGCACTGCACTTTTGCGTAGATTTTGCGTGCGATCCCGCGCAGCGTGCGCGGTGAATTTCGTTAACATTGTTGCGCGTGTAGTTAGTTAGCGGCGTCCGCGAAATTATTTCTCTCTCTCTCCCCGTTAGATTAATTTTGTATACACAGCGTGCGTCCAAGACTCTCGGCAACTCATCCCGTGTATAAGATTCAGTTAGTCTAATAAAGTGGTTCATGAATAATAAGAGACGACCTTATTATTTCGTCTCACCTTGCACCGGTGTCTATGTTTATATTTATATTTTGATTTGAACGCGCCGAGAACTCATCATAGATCGCGAGTGCGACTGATAGAGTCTTTCTTCAATCGAGTTATCTGCTGCGGCCGACGGAGCGCTGGTAAGCGAGCGCACCAGCACCTCTAGCGGTTAGTACGAACATCGGAGTTGGATCGCTACGAGGACTCGGCGCAAGCGCACACCGGCGCGGCATAAGGTGAGTTAGCCTGCTCCAAGCACGCAGTTAGCAGAGCACCGATTGGCCGTTGCGGCAATAATAATTGCTAGGGTTTAGCGACTAATCGGCAGCCTGTTACAATATATATATATCACAGTTTAATATAGTATATATTAAAATGTAATATATCTCATATTCAATAAGATATTTAAGGGCATAGTTCTCAGACGAGTAACTTGGAAAAATGTGCTGATTACGAATGAATCTCAGCTTTTATGGAAGATGGTGGTGCTGTACGCAGTGGTTTTAGCACTGGTTAACATAGAAAAATAAAATGTAGTAGTTGAGTATAGAAAAGTGGGGGTTTTAGCTGCTAAAAGCTCCACTAAAACAAATTTTGAAACTATAAAAATGGTGGAGGTAAACTTATCCAGTAGGATAATAATAGCATTAATAGCATTGTATTATTTCATACTACTGTCTACATACTATTAAATAAAACAATGTGTATCGATTTAATTATTAATAATTTATTATAGAGAGTAAGATAAAGGGAGTTGAAGTATTACTGCTGAGCAGACTTGAGAGAGTAGCCTACTCACAGAGCTGTGGCAGTCGAATGACTGCGCTCTGCCTTCTCGCTCTCTTCCTCATCTCCTTAGAGCGCGACGGCACGCACAACTATCGCCCCCACTATTCTTTTCAGCAGCATCATACTAACATTAAAGCACGCCAATTGTTGCATACTATAGTCCTCACTATAGGTATACTCTTCGACTGCTACACACTCTAGCCCTCGCTATAGGTATACTCTTGCTATCACGCTATCAAATTATTACTGAGCTATCATAACCAGACGCGAGACTGATTCATCTATAATAACTGATAGCAGAACTTATTAAAATTATACACAATTTATCGTGGGACTAATATTCATCCGTCCTATAATTAATTTATGAATTAGTCATTACGTCATCCACCAGAATGAACATAGCATATTTACTAGCATACTTTGCAATGGTATTCATCCCGTATGGGAATATAAATTTTTTACAGGGTAAAAAATAGTGACTATTACGAAACTTAAATACAACGTAGCAACAACTCAGAATGTTTTACAAAAAAATACGAAAAACACCTTTTAAAGTACATGAAAAGAGATTTAAAATAAGTTACGGGCGAATCTTATATATCGACCTCTTTTGAAACAGCAATAAATATATTTTTATTTAATATACGTTAATTTCATTCTTCCTGCCTCTACAAAATACAAAAGTAAAGTAGATAGAAAAATTCCAAACTGTCACATTTTATTTATTCTCCATTCATATTTTCTTCAATAAAATTTCATTATTAATTAATAAGATATTTATTAATTGATAAAACTAATTAGTTATATTATTGGTTGGTCTTATTTATAACTCTTTTTCTACAGATATTGATAATCCCGATTTTGACGTTGGAAAAATTGGTTCAAGAATAATAAATGAAATCGTTCAGCCATTAAATGAAGTACAAATTGACGATGCAGAGTTTGCCTGTTTGAAATCTATCGTCTTTTTTGATCCAAGTAAGATTTATACAATCTAACATTTATAGTACATATTGAAAGTATATCAGAGCACTCGTGATAATTTTACGCTGTACACATAAGCTAATTATCAATATTTCTTGATTTGAATATCTTTCAATATTTCGTATTATGAATTTCACAATTAACAAAGTTCTTCCCTAGACGTCAGATGTTATTTAAATATTTCCAATTTTTATCTAAGCTAAAATAGCAAAATAAAGTAAAAAAAATTATAACAGTAAAGTTATATGTACATTCCTTTGCAGAGTAGATATTTAATATAAGGATAGTAAATAAGCGAATATGATTCAAAATGTCGTTACAGCATTCTGCGACATACGAGTAATGAAAAATACAAACAAATAAATAATTAATCAATCATTTAATATTCCATTGCTTGGGTAGAGCAAGTAATTATGTGTATATGCGTTAATATACTGCAAAATAATAACACAAGTCTACAAAATCTCGAGAAATTTTGGTGAGATGAATTCGAATACATGCTCAAATTTTTTCCTGTATATCAGATTTCCAAAATATCCTAAAAGTAAAAAAATACTGTTTTTGGCTATATTCAAAGTTAAATTGCATTGTAAATAAATTTTTATTTTAATAACTGATCAAGCCATCTAAAAAGAACACTCTTTCCCGTCAAAATTCTTTTTTCAAATTAAAAAAATCTTTCCGTCTCTGAGTAGTAGATGTTTAAATTTTTAGCTTTCCCTCTATAAACTTAAAATAGCACCAATTTCTCTTAGAAAGTAACCATACAGTATTTTCCAATTTTTTGGATTACTTAATACGATTTCAACATCAACTGAGCTATAATTTTAAATACCTAAAAATTTCCAATCTAAAATTGCAAGATTATGGAAATTTATTATATTATATTGGATAATTTAGAGCTTCATTTCATGCCGCTAGATGGCGTATGTATTTTTATGGTACGAAAATTCATATTCCAATTCTATATACAAGTAGACATACAAAAATAGGGTCTATAACGTCTAAAACCGACCAGCTAGGATTTAAAATTTTAGATTAAAAAATATTTCTTATAGGATTGTATACGTTCCAAATGAACCGATTATGACCATATGCATTACAAACATCCCTAACGAATCTTACTACAATACTCTCTAGAATTGTTATTTTATTCATCGAATTTAAAACTTTGTACAAAATATCATTTTGTACAAAGTTTTAAGCTCGATGAATATCATTTTTCATCTTGTTATTTATATTTATTATCTTTTTACTATTTATATATTGGTCCTTCAATATTTAATATTATCTCCTTTATTTTACAACTGTGACGAGAGCAAGCAGTATTCTTGCTTTTTATCTGTCTCTCTTCCTTCCCCTCTTCTGTCGACAAGGCATAGTAGCCAGCGTTAGACGCACTATAGTAATCCGGCTACAAGGGCTTTTGTTACAGTTACTGGAGATTGCCGAGTGAGACCAAACCATCCCGAAGACGAAGAGCACAGCAAGAACGTGCATAAAAGAGAAAGAGAGAGAGAGAGAGTGCACGCATAAACTATACATATCAAAATGAGCGTTGACGTGTTCGGGTAAACTTAAACATCGAGATAACGACCGTTGTGGTCCACCAAGTCTCGGATTCAAGCCTACGTCCACCACTAAATTCTGACGATGTAGTTAATTTACAAACTGTTCAACGTATCGTTCAGTCGAAAGTCAAAACTGTTACAGACACTATCATAGTATACTTGAAAAGTCATCTCAGTAACTTAATTGAAATAAATAAATCAGCGATAAAAATAGATACTCAAAATATAGAAGTAGACGTATCGTCCTATGGAGCATCAAAAAGTGGTGGAAGAGCTTCACAAACCAGCCAGACATAATTACCCACGACACATACGATATTCGAAGAATAAACGAGATCTGGCAGGCTGATCTCGTAGATATAGAGGCTTATTGTAGAACAAATCGCGGCTACAATTGGCTTCTCACGATAAAATTGATAATTTTTCAAAGCATGTGTGTTAACGGTAGCGACTTCCTTGGCGAAGTAAATCGCTCTTATTTTGAAAAATTTCGTTTTTTTTGTTGTTAATTCATTTATGATCGTTATTTTGTCATATTTGTTGATTTATTAGATGTATAGGAAAAATTCACTTTGACACTAATTTAGGGCAAAAGCCATACCAGCATAAAAAACCCTTTTATTAAAACAAAATGGGAAATTACACTGACAGAAACAGCGCGAGAGAGACGTCGCGCGGAGAGCGATGGCCGTTGCCATGCTTGCACGCACTCAATCGCCTTGCACACAAGCGAATTTTGCACACAAACAGGTTTACATTTACTGTCACACACTCCAACCACACTGAAGCGACAGTAAAGACCACGTGAGTGGACGAGAGCCTTGCAATACGTGGGTATTGCTAGTAGTATTGCACGTGGGTGCACGAAACCGTTTACTCGAAAACGTAAAGACGCGAGGGAGCTCCACACGCTAGACGTTGTCGTCGACGACTGCCGGTAACACCGGCAAGAGCAGCCATGCTTGGCGCGAGTAGCGCAGCACCTTACGGTCACCACGCTAGGCTTAAGGCCCTAGCGCCTCACACACTCTTACACACAGACACACTCTAGCTGCGCGCGCAGCTCAACTTAATTTAAAAGTGCATGCATGAATAAGACATGTGTTTGTACATATATATAACGTGTTACGACGTAACAGCATGCGTGGACCGTGCCAGTGGAAAAGAAAACCGGTAATGATGTGGCAGCGGCACTGAAATCTGTTTTGGTGAAAGGTCGAGTACCAAATAATTTTCACACGGACAGAGGTAAAGAATTTTACACTTATAGTTCACTCAAAGCTTCAATATGTGAAGGATTCAATCGTACGTTGAAAAATACTATGTGGATAAAATTAAGTCTACACGGTACAATGGGTTAAGTCTACACGGTACAATGCTGCTTACAACAATCGTAAACACAGAACGATTGGTATGAAACCTATTCAAGTTACAGCAGTGAAGCTGAGTTCAAGTTTCAAGAGTCAAGTTATAGCTGAAGTATTACGAAATTTTGCTAAAAAATGCGTAAAAAGGAGGCTCAAAAGAGGTTCAAAGTTGATGACAAAGTGAGAGTGAGTAATGCGAAGCAAATGTTTAAAAAAGGATAGACATCGAACTGGTTTAAAGACATATCTACGTGTAGTTTCATCAAATCCAATTATCTATCACTTGAAAGATTATCAAGATCAGTCCATTTTTGGTGGTTCATAAAACTAACTACAACAAACGAAACATCCTGATATATATCTGGTTGAAAAAAACATTAAAAATCGTGATAATCGAAAGTTTGTGAAATGGTTAGGATTCGATCATTTGCATAATTGTTGGATAGATAAAAGTAAACTATAAAAAAAGGAAAGTTAGTCTTAAATTATGTTAGGTTTGAAGATAAATAAATAAATATTTTATGTAAAAATATAATTGGAATATTTATTTATTAATAATAATGTGTCTCCATACTACTAAATTCTATAGAGTTTTCTCTTTCATAATTTATAAATAAATTAAATTTATTGGTGTTTTCCGTGAAATCATCATCAATTTTTCATTTTGTATAATTGTATTTGACAGTTTGATGACAAAAACAGTTGAAATTCGTCGTCCATCTCAACAATGATTTTGTCACCAAATCGTGTTTCAACTACATTTGCATCTATCACCGATTAGTGAAGCAAAACAACCGGACCACGGATAGGGTGACCTGCTGCCGTAAGTATGGGTGCACTTAGTCTTCAAGGGTGTCTCTTAGAACGCGACTCTGCGTCTACCCATCAATTTAGGCGGTGTTGTAGCAAGGGCTGCTCCTGTTCTCAAAACGTCAGCACTACGCGTCCTGCCTTGCATCCCGGAGGAACTCTTCTCACTCTCTCTTTCATTGCCATCTGTGAGTCGGGTAAGCGATTGTAAGGCTTCACTGGTCATTGAACAGCGCGGGCGAGCGTAAATTACCGCAAAAAGGATTGTAAGGGTAATCACAGCTCTCCGCGAAAAGTATTTTTTTTAAATGAAAATAAGTTCACGTTGTGTTGTACGTAAAATAAATTGTGCCATATCTAAAGGGATTTCCTTCACCTAGGAGTGGGTTTTTATACCGTCTAGATACGGTCTATTTGAAAATGTGACAGGGCTATAGCGATGCTCGCTGGCCCTGTGTGCGGCACTCTCCTCGCGTGAACGCAGCGACCAAGTGTACGCTATATAGCGACTACATACTTGTGTCGTTGCAGGATCTGGAGAGAGGAGCGCGACGATCGGCGAGGTGTCGCCGTGAGTGCGAGTGAGAGCGAGAAGAGCGAGAGAGAGAGAGAGAGCTATTTTGATTGATTTTTGACGAGGAGAGAAGTGGGAGCGCAGCGGCGCGAGGCTTAGAAATTATGAGAGTAGAAGGGGAGTTAGGCGCGAGCTCTCGAGTAATTAGGGCCGCCTAAGGAGAGACTGGACGAGACGACATTTCGGCCAGAGAGGAACGACTGCCAGGAGTGCGACTGCTATTTGCCGGGAGAGCCAGGAGTTCCAAGCCGAGCACGGACAAGCAGTGACCATTCGCCGTCCACGGGGCAAAGGCCGTGTCGCGGCCCCTCCTGCAGCAGCCTCGGTCATCGCCAGGGCGCCGTTTCCAGCGGGCCTACGCTTTCGCCGGCGTCGCCTCTCTGTCGACGGACCGTCGGCATCCGGTGGGTCTAAAGCCTGTTTGTCTCTCTCGCGCCAGCTCTCGCTCGATTACGGACATTTGCGTATTTTGATTTATCGCGCACGCTGAGCGATCTCGCTCGCGTGATCCCGCGAACTCTGGTCGCGGAAAGGCTGAGCGAGCGCGCTCGCCGCGGCGAAGTTAATCTTGTAGCGATATTTGTGAAAAGGCGTCAATAAATGAGATCGCCATATGTAATATCATTGAATTAAAGTGTCCGATTCTTTGTATCAACCTTCCCCAACCAGCGC